GTTTCTAAATAACTTACTGCACATTATTGGGCTTTTTTTGTTTTGGGTTCCAGTCATCTTAATTGTCACTGACCTAATGGTGTACATATCCACAGTGTTTTATTGGGGGGGGGGGGATAAGATCTATTGAATGGTACCTATGTTTGCTAGGAATCAAACATGACCAATATCATTCTGCCATTGATTGCAAGATTCTCACCTGTAGTGGCAAAATGTTCAAGTGCTCGGCAGTGACAGCTAAGATCATCACCTTACATGATTTATTATTTGTATCATATACTTAGTCATGTAATGTGATACAAGCACCATTTGTTGAATACTGTTATAACATTTTATTCACAAGAATGAATTGATTTACCTCTCCCTCCTCATCAAATATGATCTTTTGGTTCACTTTATATTTCTTCCTAGCTAGTTTCTTGGCCAATGCTGCTTTTGATAATTTCTTTTTAGGATTTGTCTTCACCGGAACTTTTAAATCTTTCTTTTCATTTTCTTCTTCTGGTTTCACTGACACAGTAACTGTTTCCTGTATCGAAAATAAAAAAACATTAGAAATTATGAAAAATTCATTAAATTTGACTAGTGGACATATTATGAATGATTGACCAATACGTTCAAAAGATTATAGACGGCATAAGTAGCGTATATCTCAAATCACTCACACATGTTTATCAAGGCAAATTAAATATTTGACTGAAAATGTACAAAACTATTGGCTAGAAATAACCATTTCAAAAATACTGCTATAGAATAAATACTTTAGAACGAGATGAACTAATGATAATTTTGGTGGGTTTACAGCGATGAAATTGACAACAACTAACCTCTCTGACTTCTACAGTATCTTCTTCAGTGTCTTCTTCGCTAGACTGGGAATCTTCTTCAAACACATTCTTAGTTTTCACCGTAAGAATATCATCATCACTATCATCAAGAGAAATCTTAATATCTTTATCAGCTATTAGTTTATTTTTATCACCATGGTTACTATTACTGTCTTCATTTTCACTTTCATCCTCCTCTGATCCACCACTGCTTGTTTGTGGTGTGATTTTTGTTTCAGTTTTTGTGGATGATATTTTTTCTGCCATCTGCTTTTCTCTCAATTTTTCAGCTCTTTGCAAAAATCTGATTCTTGGTGAAATAACAAGACCCAGGGACCTATTGGAATGAATATATGTTACATTAACATACGTAGGGATATTACATCTACATTAGTTTAGAGGCACAGCAACATACCTAACAGTTCATTAATTTCAAGTTTATAATTAGAATAGAATAACAGGAATAAATGCCTTGCAACAGTTTTTGGTTAACGCAAGGAATACCTTAATTTAATTGCATCTTACACAATCACAATGCTAGACACATGTTTCTTGAAATTGTAAATAAATTTAAAATGTAAAGCCAAGGGCAGTCTTTTTGAGATGTTGCCATAAATATATGGGCTAGTACAAGAAATAATGTAAAATACTTTATTTTCACTTGGAATTAATTTCAGCTATTTTCAATGAAAATAAAATCCAGTGAATATACCTTTTTTTCTAAATTTTACATTCAATATGTCAAAAATCAGTGTAAATAAATTCCATACAAAACACCCAAAATGTCTTTTCAGCAAAAATAATTCCAGCTAAAATAACGTAGTTTACAGTATATAATATAAAATAAATTCTAATCCTCATTATTCATATAAGTACTTACGTTGCATACTCATCAGTTGTTAATTTATTGATATCAAAGACATCTTTATTCTTCATTAAATAAATAGATCTCAAGTAAGAAATAAAACATCTCTGGGCAGATTGTTTCATTTCATAGTTTTTAGCACATATTGCCTGCAGTTTGTTTTGTATCTGGATCAATTTATCTGGATTTATCCTACAATGAGAAAACGCACATTCCTCTGATAACAAATGTTGATAACAAAAGTCTAACTCTAAAATAAACATGTATGTAAATACAAAAAATGACTAGACCCTGAAAAGCAACCTGAGGTTGAACACTAAAAATGGCTAGACCTTAAAAACCCACCAAAAGGTGAACCACAAAAATCTTGCCTCGGTTTGAAGAGCAAAAAAGGGTAGACTCCAAAATCCCACGTGGGGTTGAAGAGTAAAAAAATGGTAGACCCTAAAATCCAACCTGGAGTTGAACACTGAAAAGGGGTAAACTCTAACATCCCACCTGGAGTTGAACACTAAAAAGGGGTAAACTCTAATATCCCACCTGGAGTTGAACACTGAAAAGGGGTAAACTCTAATATCCCTCCTAGAGTTGAACACTAAAAAGGGTAGACCCTAAAATCCCACCTGGAGTTGAACACTGAAAAGGGGTAAACTCTAATATCACACCTGGAGTTGAACACTAAAAAGGGTAGGCCATAATATCCCATCTGGGTTGAACACTAAAAAAGGGTAGACCCTAATATCCCACCTGGAGTTGAACACTAAAAAGGGTAGGCCATAATATCCCATCTGGGTTGAACACTAAAAATGGGTAGACCCTAATATCCCACCTGGAGTTGAACACTAAAAAGGGTAGACCCTAATATCCCACCTGGAGTTGAACACTAAAAAAGGGTAGGCCATAATATCCCACCTGGAGTTGAACACTAAAAAAGGGTAGGCCATAATATCCCACCTGGAGTTGAACACTAAAAAAGGGTAGGCCATAATATCCCATCTGGGTTGAACACTAAAAAAGGGTAGACCCTAATATCCCACCTGGAGTTGAACACTAAAAAGGGTAGGCCATAATATCCCATCTGGGTTGAACACTAAAAATGGGTAGACCCTAATATCCCACCTGGAGTTGAACACTAAAAAGGGTAGACCCTAATATCCCACCTGGAGTTGAACACTAAAAAGGGTAGGCCATAATATCCCATCTGGGTTGAACACTAAAAATGGGTAGACCCTAATATCCCACCTGGAGTTGAACACTAAAAAGGGTAGACCCTAATATCCCACCTGGAGTTGAACACTAAAAAGGGTAGGCCATAATATCCCACCTTGAGTTGAACACTAAAAAGGGTAGGCCATAATATCCCATCTGGGTTGAACACTAAAAAAGGGTAGACCCTAATATCCCACCTGGAGTTGAACACTAAAAAAGGGTAGGCCATAATATCCCACCTGGAGTTGAACACTAAAAAAGGGTAGGCCATAATATCCCACCTGGAGTTGAACACTAAAAAATGTAGGCCATAATATCCCACCTGGAGTTGAACACTAAAAAAGGGTAGGCCATAATATCCCATCTGGGTTGAACACTAAAAAAGGGTAGACCCTAATATCCCACCTGGAGTTGAACACTTAGAAAAAGTAGGCCATAATATCCCACCTGGGTTGAGTGCACCCATATAACATTGATTTGGGGAGGCCAAATCTACTGGTCAAAGTTCATTCACAAATGCAACTTTGGGGGAACCCAAATTTCTGTAATGCAATCAGGATAAGAAGATTCAAAATCCTACCTTATTTTCTGTATGGGTATTTTCCTCTCTACCAATTGGTGTAACATGTTTTTTTCTTCTGATGGGAGTAAAACTAGCAATGATTCCCCATCATCTTGGTATCTAGCTGTTCTACCCGCTCTGTGTATGTAAGTACTGGCATCCTCTGGACAGTCTAACTGTAAGACCCAATGCACAGCAGGAAAATCTAAACAAATAACAATGTTATTAATATTACTGTAAAACAACTAATTTTCACTGGGTTTAAATTTGGGCTAATCTGCACTGGCTCGGAAGGTTGTAAATGATTAGCTAGTTTGAATTTGCATAACAATACTGACAATGAACGTGCATTCAACGCCACAAGTTTTTTTGTTTTTTTAGCCAATCAGAATTCATCTTCCGAGCCAGTGCAGATCAGCCGTTAAATTTCACTGATTTACCATTTCAGGAATATTCAGTGGGTTTTAAATTCACGGTTTTATCATTTAGATAATGTGTGCTATGTTAAATTTTACATATTCATTGGGTTTTAATTTAGCGCATTTTCCAGTCAGCAAAATAAGCTAAATTAAAACCCAGTGAATAATTAACCCTTTTACAGTACTCATAGAATAGTTTAATTTCTGAGGTTCCTTACATGTTTTGACAAGAAAACACAGTTTGTGAAAAGAGAACAGAATGATGTACCAACATCAATGTTGATCACTAGAGGGCACTAGACTTGAACTAAAGAAGGCTTGTTGTATCAATGTAGGATATTGCTAAGACTTCAAGAGACAAAGACTGAAACAAGAATTATGGTTTATTCTCAGATACCTTGTACATACTTAACACCTAGTCTGATACATATGCATGTGTGGTTATTTCACGATTGGTTCAAAGATGACCGACTGGAGGCCACTTTTTGTTGAAAACATGCACTAAAATGTCCATTGTCCGAATTGCACGGTCCCATGTCTTCGACCAATAGGCCTCTACACGATACCGTGCGGGATCGCATAGGCTAACTGCGTATCTTAAGCAGTGAGATCTGATTGGGCACGTCTCGAAACAAGGCGCCCAATCAGCTTGGACCTACCAAATTATAAAACAAAATTCCACTTCCTGTTTTTGTCGCTATGAAGACATCCTTCCCACACAAAACTGCGTTGATTGCCTGTACCTGATGAGGCTTGAGGGCACCAACACCGAAAACTTTCGCAATTTTATCATCACAAATATCACAATTCATGGGCGCCACCATTTTGTTTAAAATGAAACGCCAAAGAGGGATTTGTAACACGCAAACTGATTGGACAATGATTAGCCGCAACTGACTACTGGGGGCGCTGTTAGAATATGCATATTTGATGGTTGTTCTGCCAAGTCTGTTTAGAGGCTTGGCCGAATAAACTTAGACCTTGGCTAGCGAAGATGTAAAATGTCCAGTCGTTGATTTTCTTCAAACTTTGATAGAAAAAAATAACCATTACTGGAGGTTGATGCATGTAATGTTGATTTACTACTCTGATTAACTCAAGATGTCTGACTTGATTCATCTATCAGGTCACCCAAGTATACTTCAAGGTCATATGCTCTTTGCATATGCACAATGTAAAAAATGTTCCCTCTACACAGGACTAAAGCTAAATTATTCTATGTTTTGGAAATACGCCCACAAGCACAGGAGTGTATGCATGTAATGTCATTTTAGAATAGCAATTATTTATATTTGACACTAATAGTGAATGTTCAACACACCTAGTCCTCTTGCAGCAATGTCTGTAGCTATTAAAACCGCATTTTCCTTTTTACAAAATTCATTATAGACGGCGACCCTTCGTAACTGGTTTAGTTTTCCATACAATGCCATCACTGTTATACCAGGACGTAGACGACATATTGCTTCATATACATACTTTACCTTTAAAATAAAAGAGACAATAATCACCTTGTTGTCATTTAAGAATACCACTCAAAATAACAATGTCAGTATGTCAATCTATCAAATATTGCAGGTACTGTAGATACCTGTGTACTGCAACTTGCTAAGTACACCGATTTGTTTTCAACATCCTTGCTATAACTACCAAGATTTTCTAATTACACCTGTTTGAGGGCGCTGTAGTTACTTACCTGTTTGCAACTTCCCATAAGCACCAAGATTTTTTAAGTATACCAGTTTGTTTTCAACATCCTTGCTATAACTACCAAGATTTTATATGCACACCTGTTTGAGGGCGCTATAGTTACTTGCCTGTTTGCAACTTGCCATCCTCGGGGACGGAGCTACGTCACAAGACGTTCCACGTTGCTACGATGCGCACCACTGTACATGCATTTCTATGGGCTCTGTGCGCACTTCTGTGGAACGCCGGTCGAGCCGGTGAAAATTCGAGAAAATAACACAAACTCAACTTTGAAGAATCCCGAACAACCAAATTTATATATGTTACACACGTAGGGCTAATCTTGTTACACTGTTCAGAGTCTCAACAGTCATCCCAAAGTACCGTTTTCTGTGAGTTTTGGGCCTTTGTTTTCACCGCCGTGGGTTGCCAGGCGATGAAAATGCCCGGATGTCCGCCCCTGAGGATAAACACCAAGATTTTCTATGTACACCTGTTTGAGGGCGCTGTAGCTACCTGTTTGCAACTTGCCATAAACACCAAGATTTTCTATGTACACCTGTTTGAGGGCGCTGTAGTTACTCACCTGTTTGCAACTTGCCATAAACACCAAGATTTTCTATGTACACCTGTTTGAGGGCGCTGTAGCTACCTGTTTGCAACTTGCCATAAACACCAAGATTTTCTATGTACACATGTTTGAGAGCACTGTAGTTACTCACCTGTTTGCAACTTGCCATAAACACCAAGATTTTCTATGTACACCTGTTTGAGGGCGCTGTAGCTACCTGTTTGCAACTTGCCATAAACACCAAGATTTTCTATGTACACCTGTTTGAGGGCGCTGTAGTTACTCACCTGTTTGCAACTTGCCATAAACACAAAGATTTTCTATGTACACATGTTTGAGGGCGCTGTAGTTACTCACCTGTTTGCAACTTGCCATAAACACCAAGATTTTCTATGTACACCTGTTAGAGGGCGCTGTAGTTACTCACCTGTTTGCAACTTGCCATAAACACCAAGATTTTCTATGTACACCTGTTTGAGGGCGCTGTAGTTACTTACCTGTTTGCAACTTGCCATAAATACCAAGGTTTTCTTTTTTAGATGGTTCCGTATAAAAGAATATAACATGTTCAGCTTCTGATGGAGTTCACAAACTACATAGCTCTGAAACAAAAAACAAAATGGCAGAAATCTATAATATACAGAAAACAAAACATATTTTCACATTTGCATATTGTTTATACAATATAGGTGAATATTAGTATACAATATAATATATGTATTAGGTATATATTCATATAATCACCTGTTCTAACTGTGCTAGTGTACTGTATTTAATATACTCACCTGTTCTAACTATGCTAGTGTACTGTATTTAGTATACTCACCTGTTCTATCTGTGCTAGTGTACTGTATTTACTATACTCACCTGTTCTGACTGTGCTAGTGTACTGTATTTAATATACTCACCTGTTCTATCTGTGCTAGTGTACTGTATTTAGTATACTTACCTGTTCTAACTGTGCTAGTGTACTGTATTTAGTATACTCACCTGTTCTAACTGTGCTAGTGTACTGTATTTAGTATATTCACCTGTTCTAACCGTGCTAGTGTACTGTATTTAATATACACACCTGTTCTAACTGTGCTAGTGTACTGTATTTAGTATACTCACCTGTTCTAACTGTGCTAGTGTACAGTATTTAGTATACTCACCTGTTCTAACTGTGCTAGTGTACTGTATTTAGTATACTCACCTGTTCTAACTGTGCTAGTGTACTGTATTTAGTATACTCACCTGTTCTAACTGTGCTAGTGTACTGTATTTAGTATACTCACCTGTTCTAACTGTGCCGGTGTACTGTATTTCGTATACTCACCTGTTCTAACTGTGCTAGTGTACTCACCTGTTCTAACTGTGCTAGTGTACTGTATTTAGTATACATACCTGTTCTAACCGTGCTAGTGTACTGTATTTAGTATACACACCTGTTCTAACTGTGCTAGTGTACTGTATTTAATATACTCACCTGTTCTAACTATGCTAGTGTACTGTATTTAGTATACTCACCTGTTCTATCTGCTAGTGTACTGTATTTAGTATACTTACCTGTTCTAACTGTGCTAGTGTACTGTATTTAGTATACTCATCTGTTCTAACTGTGCTAGTGTACTGTATTTAGTATACTCACCTGTTCTAACTGTGCCGGTGTACTGTATTTAGTAAACTCACCTGTCCTAACTGTGCTAGTGTACTCACCTGTTCTAACTGTGCTAGTGTACTGTATTTAGTATACTCACCTGTTCTAACTGTGCTAGTGTACTGTATTTAATATACTCACCTGTTCTAACTATGCTAGTGTACTGTATTTAGTATACTCACCTGTTCTATCTGTGCTAGTGTACTGTATTTAGTATACTTACCTGTTCTAACTGTGCTAGTGTACTGTATTTAGTATACTCACCTGTTCTAACTGTGCTAGTGTACTGTATTTAGTATACTCACCTGTTCTAACTGTGCTAGTGTACTGTATTTAGTATACTCATCTGTTCTAACTGTGCTAGTGTACTGTATTTAGTATACTCACCTGTTCTAACTGTGCAAGTGTACTGTATTTAGTATACTCACCTGTTCTAACTGTGCTAGTGTACTGTATTTAGTATACTCACCTGTTCTAACTGTGCCTGTGTACTGTATTTCGTATACTCACCTGTTCTAACTGTGCTAGTGTACTCACCTGTTCTAACTGTGCTAGTGTACTGTATTTAGTATACACACCTGTTCTAACCGTGCTAGTGTACTGTATTTAGTATACACACCTGTTCTAACCGTGCTAGTGTACTGTATTTAGTATACACACCTGTTCTAACTGTGCTAGTGTACTGTATTTAGTATACTCACCTGTTCTATCTGTGCTAGTGTACTGTATTTAGTATACTTACCTGTTCTAACTGTGCTAGTGTACTGTATTTAGTATACTCACCTGTTCTAACTGTGCTAGTGTACTGTATTTAGTATACTCACCTGTTCTAACTGTGCCGGTGTACTATATTCATGGTGCTGATGTACAGATATATACTTAGGATCTTTAAGACTTAACCTGGCTAAATCACGCACTGATCTACAACATTAAGAAATAATAACGTCATACTGAATTTCTAAGTTTTGTTTCATACAAAGCATATTATCTCTTATCTTTTTTATAATAAATTTGATCTAAATTTATTTTTTTTGTGTTCATGATAATCTTAATCTTGAAAATAAAGATGTTTATTAAAATATGAATGTAAAATGAAGGTTTTATACCATAACAAGTCATTGAAAATGACACAGTCCCCGTATAAGCATGTCCAAAATACATTTTCAAAAAACAAGATGGCTGCCAGTCGGCCATTTTGTATCGAATTGCTAAACCACTGCATGTACATATGTCCCACATAAAGTACTAGGCACATGCAAAGAATGAAAAGAATCGGGCAAAAGAATTGTGAAATATGACTCCAGAGGGACACACGGATGAATGGACGCACGCGCAGACGGTCTGGCGGTCGGAGGACATGTATCCTCCCATGTATAATCTATGTACCAAGTTTGAATGAAAACTGACAAAGCATGTCCAAAATGCAACATTTTAAAAAAACAAGATGGCTGCCAGTCGGCCATTTTGAATCGAATCGCTAAACCACTGCATGTGCATATGTCCCACATAAAGTACTACGCACATGAATGAACGGAATCGAGCCAAAGGATTCTGAAAAATGACTCCAGACGAACGGACACCAAATTATAAGTTCCTGTTTTCGGACTTCGTTATTGGAACTAAAGTTGTTGTTTTTTTGAAAACGCACATTAATTTCACAGAGCATGGCGAACAATACAATGGTTCTCACTCTTTATGTTCTGTTATTACTCACAATGAACTCAATATTGCAATACTGAAGTAATACACAGTGATTGGAAATCAGGTAGCTTTCTAATTGCCAAAATGTGAATTAAAAGTCATGAAAAAGTCAATTATACATGAGGTGATAACAAAAACTAATAATTCAAAAAATATATTTGACGCAAGATAATAAAAGAATGTACATAAATATTAGCAGTTACATAAACATACAGTCATCTAACTTTTAAAGTTGCAAGTTATAATATGATTGTGTGCTTAGAGACAATGCACATGCGTATTAGAATTTTTCACCAAACAAATACTGTTAGTTAATGATAAATGAAAATTAAATTTGGTCATCAAAATGGAATATCAAACAAAATTATTAAGTTATTGGTATGACATAGTTCATACAATAGTAAACAAAACTGAAACCGGTCAGCAATTATGAATCAGAATTTTGAATGATCTGGTCTGGTTCCTGAAAGACAGAAATACTTTTTATTGCATGCCGTTCAGCCATTCTATATTGAATCATACATGCGCATATGTGTGAGAAAAAGATTCATAGATTCATATGTGATATATAGAAGATATGGAATTAACAAACAGTTCATTTGTTGAGCTTACTACCTAGACGCGTAATATGTTCTATTGTGGAATTTTTTGTGATTCTATTCATAGTTCTTTCGTGTTCTTACGTTCCTATGTTCTACCTGTGCGTTTAAACATTTTCTTCTATGCCATCGATAAAGAGCCATTGCTCGAAAAGTCTAGCTATTTTTAATAGTTATTTAGGACTACGATTACCAAATATTATTTACTATATATCACATTTATCAGTCCGAGCAGTGTTTATTAATTTATATACTACTTTTACAATAGATTCATATGTGCAGTTTGAACACATTCAGTCAAGGCTAGTGAGAGATATGGCTCTGAAACTGTCTTTGTAGTAAAAACTGACCACTATTTTGAATCTGAAAAACAAATGGATGTGCATCAAGATCCCATTATTGTTTAATGTATGTAGCAAGTAAGTTGAAAGAAATCTGAGCATGCAAGGGCGAGATCCAGACGTTGCATGAAATTACAGGTCTGCATGAAGCGTTTCATGTAATACAACCAGTTTGTAGACACATCACATGAAATGCATATCAAAAAGGACATGGTGCGACTACATGTACTTTAAACTATACTCTAACCAATGTCAATGTTAAACTTTTCACAACCACTTCCCTCTTATCGTCACAAAACAGTCCTTTTTGTAGTCTGCACTTTCCTTCAGAAGATTAGAAAGAGTAAAAACTGACACAAATTTTGTCACTTGGATCCAAAATTCACTTCCAGTAATATTGAAAAACATAAGAAAGAAAGTGCAGAATAATTTAGATGGCAAAGTCAGGTGGTAAAAGAGTTAAAATAGTATCATGCTTACTTTGTTTGCGTTGCTGAAAACAGCAGAGTCTGTCTTTCTGGTGGCAAATTCTCTATGATTGCATTCATAGTTTTCTCAAATCCTAAATCAAGAATTCGATCGGCTTCATCTAGAACTAAAATAACAAAAATTTATGTAAAAGGTGC